CCGGCGGACGGCGGGCGGGTGCGGCGCACCTGCTGGGCGGCTCGGCGCGGCGGGGCTCGGCAGCGCTCGGCGGAGCCATGCCGGCTGCCACCACACCCGGGCTGGACGCTCCGCGCACCTCCGCGCCAGGGCGGGACAGCGGCGGCCCCCGCGGATACGCAGGTACGAGCGTGGTCCCGCGTCGTTCCTCGCACAAGTTCCCTCCTGTGTCGCAGCGGAGGGGAGGGAGGATGCCAGCGGGGGTAGCGGCGAATTACGATCAGGGTGCAGGATGTCTCCCGCGTAGGGATGCGGGCTGACCGGGGCAGGTTGCGGTATCCCTGGGCAGAGGTGTTGTATGCCCCCGGGGAGGGGCGCGGGAGACCGCAGCCGGGGTTGCATTACCTTCCCACTCAGCTCCGGAACCCCCCGGCCCTGTCGTCCCGCTCCGTGCCGCCTGCGGCCGGTCCCGGCAGCCGCGGAGCGCGGAGGGGGCAGTGATCCGCACCCTGGAGTTCTCGGGCACGCCTCGAGACGAGTGTCCCGGAGCTGTCCCGGAGCCAGCCCGGCACGGGAGGGTCTCGGCAGGTCCCGGCGACCCTGGGACAGCTCTTCCAGGGCTGCACTCGGGGCGCCGAGCGGGGCCAGGGCTGGAGTGCGGCTCGGGCGGAGGGGCCGAGCGCCGCCGGGGCTGCGCACAGCAGCCGCACTCCAGAGCCGTCCGAGCGGCTCACCCGGGGGGCTGCTGGGGCCCTGGGTGCGGGGGTGTGTGTGGCTGCTTCCAAAGAGGAGGCGCTGCGGTTCAGTGATAGAAGTTTGGGGTTCAGTCGCTGGGATGGCCACGGGCACCGGGGACTGTCTGGCAAGGATGGAAAGTGCTGGCTCTCAGAGACATCGCTCCTGGGCGCATATCACCAGGCTGGGAAGGAAATTAAGATATCAGTGCTTTAATGGAATATGGTAATGCATTGAGGGGTGGAATGAGAAACCAGTCAAAGCTTTTTCCTTCTTATCTTTCTCTTCCCTGGAGTTTTGTTACTCAATTCGATTGCATAGACATCTTTTCAAAAATTCCACAACATCCTTTCAAAACCTCTTTGGCTTAAGTGGGTTCGATAATTTGGAGATAATGCGAGGTGACAGAGGGTTTGAACTGGTGGGAGATGTCTGCTGCACAGGGCTGTGGTGTTGGTGGGTGTCTGGGCCTGGAGAGAGCAGAACCAGGGTCTGGACCTGCTGGCCTGGGCAGCAGGAGATGCATATTCCCGGCCACAGCCACCTCTGGAGTCCAGGACCAAGGTGAGATGGAAGGATGCTGGAGCTTGGTGCAGTTATGGTGACCTGCTTCTTGCTGGGGTTTCTTCCTCTTTTCTTCAGATCACACAGTAGATGGGCTTTTCCCTGTCTTCAATGCAAGCAGAGCTGAGTGCTGCTAAAATCCAGGGACCTCCTTCTCATGTGCAGCCTGTTCTCTCATATCCTTGCAATTTATTTGGCTCGTGAAGTTCTAACAAACTTCATTAATGACCTGATTTTGTTGTGCCTATAGAAATTGGCAAATGTATTTGGGCTACTAGCATAGCAATGCTTTAAATTGTATCCTCTGAATGTGCTTGACTGTTTAATTTGAATTTAATATAGAAGTTAATTTGAAAACGCAAAACAAGTTCTGGGAAATGTGCTTAGAGAATTAATTCAAACACAAGGGTAGACTCTGTTGCTCTAGCCTGATAGTGTTGCTAATTACTGACTTTTTTCTTTTTTAAAAATAATGTATATTTGGCTGCTTTTATGTGGTGTGTCAAAGTCTTGTGGGGCTGGGTTTGCCCACACTAAAAGGAGTTTCGGAAGTGGCATGTCCTGTGTTACACTCAGCCTTTCTGATTCTTTGTAGGTTAATCTTGCTCGTTGTAGATCTGTGGCAAAACATCTAGAAATGCCAATCTGCCAAAAACTGTTTGGTGTTTAAGCTAGAAATCCACCCTCAGTTAATCCCTTGGATATCTATAGACCTGGCTCCTCTCAGCCAGGACAACAAAGACCACTTTTTCCAAGCCAGCTACACCAAAACGGTGGCGCAGGAGTTCTCAGTAAGGTGCTAAACTGGAATATGCTGGATCAGGGCTTGGCTGTAGGACCAGCAGTCATGCTTGAGCCATGCAGCTTTGCCAGACCTTAGCCAGATGTCGTCTCTTCATACTCTTCATGCTCTTCATGCTCTCTGCTGCATCATGGGGCTTTTCCATGGTGCAATTCCCCTTCGCAAAAATCCATTTGAACTATTGAGGCAGGTGGATGTACTGCTGGCAACCCTAAGCAGTTTAGATAGCTAAAATGATAGCTACTTGTGTAATTTTAAATCAAACTCTTGTTCATCTAAATGTGACCATGTTATTTATACATTAGTGTTTGCTGCCAGTTGTTGCACAGTATTTATACAGTATCTTTCATTGCATCATGTCCTTATTGGTGATCCTTTTTGATGCTGAGTACCCCCTTACATTATTTCAGATCATGAGCAATAAGGTGATAATAAAGATTTGCACAGATAAACTCCCTCACATGTTCCTTTTGAGAGGATGAAAAAAATGTGGCAGGATTTCCATTTGAATTAACGCATGAATGACAGAGAAATTAAAGGAAGTTCCCTAGTACAGCCCTGATGCCTGTAGTATTTAGAGGTCTTAGAGCTTCTTGAGAACAGCTGTGAGATTCCAACACCCTGCACTTTTCCTGGTCTTGCCTTCTTTTGAAGGACTGACAGGAGCAGGGAGAATGATCCCACCCTCTGATTGGGGAGAGTCAGCGATGTGCTTCCCTGAGGAGCTGTGGGAGCCTGGCTTAGCCTGAGGGAAGGTCAGCAAATGTGTAGGGCAGGAGCACGGGGCAGGGGAAGAGTACAACAGATGTCTGGAGCTGAGAAGAAGCCTTCTATCCTGTGGCTGTTGTGCTGTCACAGCGGCATTTACAGTGTTACTGCCATGCTGTGGTAGTGTTCTGTGGGCACGGTAAATTCTCTGGAAAAGCCTCTGAGATCTTGAAAGTCTTGTGCCAGGTGACCTGAGCACTCTCCTGCCCTGTGGGAATCGCCATGGAGCAGGGTGCTGTTGTCAGCCCATGCCACTGAGGTACTGCCGCCTCTGAAGCTCTCCAAATTATACTGGGGTCTTTCGGGTGAAACAGGAAAAAGAGAGAGGAGCACAAAGGCATATCATTATTTTTAGTCTGCTGAAGTCGGAGGTTCTGGCCCTCTGGTTATCCAGGGTGGTACCTTTTTTTTTTTGCTGTGGTTCCTCTCATTCCTTAATACCATTCTGTAGCTTTTTCAGACCAGGTAGCACATACTTCTGCCAACATAGAGACGGATTGACAAAAACATCAGTGCAGCCACAGACAGAGGGACAATAAGTACAGGATCTGGCAGAAACACTCATTATGACAGGCTTTAAATTAGTAAAAATTTACACAACAGCCCAGGTCTAACTGCTGGGCTGATGTCTGTAGTTGTGGTTCTGCTTTCCTCCACTTTCCAGACCAGGGAAGGGGAGAGGTTTCATGAGGTGGGAAATGCTGCAGGCTGCAGTGAATGCTCTATTCAGACCTAGTTGTGGAAGAAATTATCTAGCAGACACCACTGAAAGAAAGGGATGGGGTCTCCTGCTTAGAACAGATAGAAGTTGCAGTTTGCTGGAAGATAGGGGCGTGACAGCCTGTATTGGCCCAATTGTAGCCTGGATGTTGGTGGCTGCGGTAGGATGCCGGTACCAGGGTGGATGTACCTGTGATGTGACTTAAGCTATCTGTTCTTTTGTTGTGAGCAACTTAAGTTTTTCTGAAGTGAGTTTCCTTGGCAGTGCAGAGACTGAAGTCATGTTACTAAAAACTTACAGTTGCTTTTCCAGGACAGCAAAAACAAAGTTGTTCTTCAAAGCCAGGAGCGCTGCTGCTCTACAGTACAGATGCATAGAATTTTATCAACTTGTCCCTGCGATCCTCAGATGTGGTTCTGTTTTTAGGCTGCAGAAGAAAACATGGATCCAAATTTCCATTTCCACAGGGCAGAAGGTGATACAACTTGGAATATATGGGTTTGTAATTTCTCCAGGGTTATTTCTCCTTTCTTGTTCTCCCATGAGCTCAAAGTCAAACTTTGTATTAAGTAATGTAAAAGAAGTGACAGTTGCAGAATGTCAGCTAATTGGCTTTATCTCCTGCAGTGCAAGGAGTTAATCTGGGTGGTTAGGCATTTGCACCAGGCACTGCTATTGCTTTGAGGGAAGGATTTTTGTGCTTGTCATTTAAGCATTAGTACAGTACAAAATAGAGAAAGAAGAGAGCTTTTGGGTTTTCTGAGTCCTGCACAGTGCAAGATTGTTCCCTGTGGTATTCTCCATGCTTCGTCCTAGCTACTTTAGGCTAGGCTAGAGAGACAGACTGTTAGGAGACTTCTGAATTTCAGCTAATGAATGAGGTGAGCTGAATGCTTTGGATCCAAAATATTGAAATTTGAAAAATCACAAGTCAGTCTTAAAATAAAGAAGCACCCCAATGACAGTGGTTAGCCCAGCATTTTCTGGGTGGTGTGGCATGGTCTATTTTAAAGGGCAAAAAACTGCTGCCAGTTTTGCTGGTCCCACTATGTCAGAGCCAGGACTTCCTTGGACTTTTCCCCTGGAAAAGCAGAGCATCCCCAAGAATCACTGCAACTCTACAGCAAAGAGATTTGTAACTGTGGTAGAATTGACATGATTTTGCTTATTAATCATGATTGCCACTGACTTTTTATGTGCACTGTAGAGTCCTGCCTTCAATATTATGATGGAGACAAGCTAACATATAGGAGAAATGTTAGTTTTCATTTAGGCATTTTATTGATACGCTGTCTTTGAAATGCAGCTGCAGATAAGCAAACATGTTATTCTAAAGAACAGTTTTGAGTGGCTGAGTGGATCAGGATTGGCAGAGAGGCGATTTTGCAGTCAGTGTGAATGTCTGCCTCTCATTTGGTTGTCAGATGACAGAGAGAAATGCAGAAGTTGCAGTATGAGCAACTGCTCCCCAAAATAAATCAATTCCTGTGTCTGCTGAGGGTCTCAGGGATGGGGTTGAGCTGGTGCCTGGACTACAAATGACCTTTGCAGCAGAGCAGAGGCCCTGTGGCCCAGCAGCATCTTTAGGGGGGTCAGTAGCTGCTTGCGGGGACAGCAGTCACAGCTACCTCAGCCCAGATAGGAGTGGTGGTGGCTAGTAGAAGCAGTGTTGGGGAAAGGGATGAGTTAACTGCTTGCCTTTCCTCCAATAGACCTGGGAGAGATTATTCCATTGTTATTTCTGGGATGAAATAAAGCCAGTCACAATGCTACTTATGTATTCCAGACTCCTAAGCAGAGTAGCTTTGATTTGGAATGAATTTGAGGAGAGGTCAAAATGGGGACAGAAGTTGAGTAGGGTGAAGGGATGGTGTACAAAATTCCCTGAGTGCATGTGTGGGCTGGGAACAGTGTGTGGGGGGATGATTTGGCCTGTGGGACCTCAGAGAGGTGCAAAGGGCACATTTTGGGGTTTGATTTTTCCTGTTCAGAAGAGCAGAAATCTGTGCCTTTGTGTAAAAGCAGAATTACACCCAGGAAGGTTTTTGCTTACAGCCACAGTTATTTCCAAGATCTTTGCTATTTGATTGGGTCAAAAGAGGCATCTGGACTGGACACAGGGGTTCTACTTTGCTCTAAGTAGTGGTGCCCCACAAAACCAGGGTCAGTTTTTCACAGGCTCTGGTGTTTGGCCCATTATTCTTAATACCTGCAGAAATTTCAATTAGGACTAAGGCTTTCATTCATTTTAATCTGTTTCAGCCCAGAAGCTGAATTCTCAGGTGTAGCCATGTACAAAGGAAGGACAGGACATGGGTCTGCCATTCTCTGCTCTGCTCTTTTGAGCTGCTTGTCATTCTGTGCATAACTCACCTGCAGTCCTTGACTTTTTAAATGGGAAAAAGCAAACACAGTGCACTGGTTCCTTGTCTTTATACTGGCATTCTTGTCAGTCTTCGTGCCATCTTGCAGCAATTCCTGTGTCCAGGGACGCTGAAAGCAGGTGTGTTTATTGACTTGTGCTGTTAATCGTTGCTGTGCCCGAGCAGTTCCTGGCAGGATTCTGCATGGCTCTCACTGAGCAGTTTGCAGGTTGCTCTGGTGGCTGTGGCCAAGCTGCTGGCTGCATGTTTCTCTGTGTGAAGCCCAGAATAGGAAAGCCAGACTCTGTCAGGAAAAGAATCAACCAGGAGAGAAGAAAGATAAAAAATAATAAAACCGCAGAGAGGGGTTTTAAATGGGCTGTTGGTTTCTCAGCCCATGAATGACTTCTATCACCATAATAAAAGGCATGCTATTGCTAACATTTTCAGACTGGTGTCTGAAAAATCAGTTATTCACAGAAATTCTTGCTGACAGTTGTGGATGCTAGGTCACAGCTCTGTGATATGCATTTCACAGCTTAACACAGCAAACCAAGGACAGGGTTAGCTTCAGATTGCTCTTGGGAAAGACTTAGGGAAGCCAAAATGGGTCAGCCAAGGGGAGGGAATGCAGGTAAGATCTGTACCATCCAGGCTTGTTTTGCTTAACAGGGTGGTTGGAAATTCCTCATGAAAAATAACAAACCTATATTCCATCATCTGTTTTAAAACAGGAAAGTGGCTTCAAAGGTAAAAGGTTGGAAAGTTTCTATATTCTTTACAAATCAGTTATTTGTGGAAGTGCAATTCCTATGTTTTAAGCTTTTTTGGCAAAAAAATTAATATATAACCATCAAGTAGCCATCTGGTCCACCTAAAATTTCACATTGGGGGTGGATTTTTAGTGACTGAAATGTTTTTTGTCCAGCTCTGGACCCTTCCTCCTTGAGAACTTTTCTGGTCAAGGTAGGTCAGTGCAGTGTGGCCCCAGCCATCCATAAAGGTTGTGCCCAGTCTGGCAAGTGTTGCACATAAGCAAGAGGCCACTGGCCACATCATCCAGGCACATCTGCTCTTATCAGCCCTGTTCAGTACCCCAGCATGTGCATGTCGCTGTGCACAAGCCAGATCAAAGAGTTGGTGCAGGCAGATAACCCAGAGCCAGGCAAGGCAAATATGCAGCCAGGCTGAGCTCTGTGTCCTGCAGCACCCAGAGCAGTGGAGGAGAAAGGAGCATGTTGAGGGTGGGCAGGGGACATGCAGGAATGCTGCCCTTCCTCCAGGGATGCTGCAGGAGGCTTCCCATGGGGCAGCACACCACCTCTGTCCTGTCCACTTCTCTGGTGGGGCATCCTTCATCCTTCCTCTGTCCATGGCTCCTGACAGAGATGTGCTTTCCCTGTGGGAATACATCTGGCGTTTCTTTTGGCTTCTCCAGTGACTGGCTTTCCAGCTAGTGGATCACTTCGCACCCTCTGCAGAAATGTTACAATTGTTTAATGAATGAGAGATTATTCATGAGTACTGGGAAAAAATAATGGTGAAAGTTGAAATTATAAACACACAGACTTCACTGGCCCAATGAAGGGCACCAGCAAGGATGTGCCCACCAAAACCTGTCTGAGAACAGAACCTGGTGGCAGAGGTAAAGTGCACACTTGCCCTGGGACTCCCATGTTGCAGGTCCCATGGTGACCTGAGAGAATGGTGAGGCCCTGGCACAGGGTGCCCAGAGCATCTGTGGCTGCCTCTGGATCCCTGGAAGTGTCCAAGGCCAGGATTAACAGGGCTTGGAGCAGCCTGGGATAGTGGAAGGTGTCCCTGCCCATGGCAGGGGATGGAACTTTAAGGGTTCTTCCAACCCAAACCATTCTGTGATTCCATGAAAGAAGTGCTGCCCAAAATGTGATGGATGTGGGAGTCTCAGCACCTGAACCCTTGCATGTTGTAAATTACATGTGCTGAAAAATCTGTTTTACCTACAAAACAGACCACAGAATAAAATGAAGGAAGTGGGTAGGAGTGAACTTGAGGTATCTGCTATAACAGAGGTGGGAGCAGAGAGCTTATTTAAGCATGGATTTGTAAATACAGAAATAAATTCTCTTTAAAGACCTTTTTGCTCTCCTTAATTGCATGGAAATTACATATTAATGGGAGAACAAGCTTTTCTGAAAAAGTGTTTTTACAAATGTTTAATGGTGTCCTGTAAGAATCATCAGATATTGGGTTCCATCTTTCACACTTTAAAAATAGTTTTATCAAAGAAACACGGAATGTTTTATGGGAAATACTTTCATTCAGAAATGCTGATATGAGGCAGGTACCAGAACCACATATTAATAAGCTGCATTTCTTTTGTCAGGTAATGTGCTGTGACAGATGCCTTCCTTAGGTACCTGCAAGTTTTACCCTGTGCCGTTGTCCAGATGTTCCTCTATGCGACTGACCCAGAGAAGCAGTCCTGTGGCTGCTGTTCAGTTCTTGCAGGTCCCCATCAGAATTTGGGGTGTGAAGCTCCCAGAGCAGTGGTGGCCAAGCCTGACCCTGCCTCTGAGGTGGTCCTTGCAGTGATGGGTGTGCAGAGGGTTGTGTTTCGGTGTATGTGGTTTGTGCCACATCTGAACCTCCAAAGCTTCCTCCAGGGGATAATTTCATAGTGCTGTACCTGTGTGTTGGAAGGCAGACAGGTCTGTAAGAACTTTCCCACATCTCCACAGCAGCTTCCCAGGGACTGCAGCACAACTGGGGACCTCGGTTAATCTCTCCAGCTTCTATACCTTGGGCCTCGCCCTTCTCTTTTACTGTAGGTCTGGTATCATGTTTACATTAACTTCTTTAAAAGCCATGCCAGCATCTGGATTTTCTCGTGGGAGGATCAGATCCTGGTGGCCATTTGTTGGTTTAAAAGCCCAGCCCCGGCAGGACTCGAGGCCAGCTCTGCAAGAAAGCAAAGGCATGGTGGTGAGGAGACCAGTGCCAGGGCCAGACAGTTTCACTCTATACAAGATGTTTTGCTACATCTGCTTTATTTCATATTTCACTTCTAGCTGCTTTTCTTTTGCTTTTTAACACAGTGAGCTCTTCCCAGAGCTCTTCTGTGAGATTGCTCTGGATGCTTAAAATGCCTGTGATTTCAGGGACACCAGTTTCTGAGGTGTTCTTCTGTAGGAAAAGAGCCTTGCAGCAATAATATTGGTGTGTTTGTTTTCTACAGGGTTGATAGAGCCTAGTGTTCTCTTTCTTTCTGGCATCTAGTTATTCCAGCATATTTTAGTGGTATTAAATTGCCAACAGTAAGCAATGCAAAGGGGTGACCTTTGTGTGTCTGGGAATAATGAGGTGAAGACGTTGCTCTGTGCATCGCTCTCTTTCTACACAGACAGCAAGCGGCAGCCTTGCTAACCTGTTTCCAGGTAATTACTTCTGTAGTTTAGATAATTTTGGTAGATACTTATGCAATTTATTTGATTTTACTTACTGTTTTACTGTGGAAAGGGCACAGGAAATGTTTACCAGGCAGGTATGCCTACGTTGCTCTCTCATTTCTTTTTCTTATCAGCAAACAGAAACCCACAGCTTGCTGATAGTGAAACCATATGCTTCCTCTTTTTGACAAATCAGTTTTGCAATATAGATAATCCTGGCTGTAACTGAGAAGAGATATTTTGGATTATTTTAATTTTTACATTACTCTCTGTTTTTCACTGCCTGGAAAATATGTATGTGTTTATTTCTGAACCCAGAGGTTGGGTGAATTAAGAGCTTATGGAGGACACTGTGCTTTAGTCTCTGTCTTTACTTTGACGAAAGTTATTTGTCATATGCAATTAACCTGTATGTTGTAGCCAGTGCCATTCTGCACTGCCAGACAGCAGCATCAGATTCAGAGATTTTCTGAACACTGGATATCCTCTCAGCATGAGGCCAAGCTGAGAATTGTGTTTGTATAAATCAGCTCCTGCTCTACAAAAAAACTGCAGAAATAGCTGCAGAAACCGGAATCATAGAACTGTAGAATCACGGGAGGTTTTGAGTTGGAAAGAGCCTTAAAGCCCATCCAATGCCACCCCTGCCATGTGAAGGGACACTTTCCATTGTCCCAGGCTGCTCCAAGCCTTGTCCAACCTGGCCTTGGACACTGCCAGGGATCCAGGGCCAGCCACAGCTGCTCCGGGCACCCTGTGCCAGGGCCTCCCAACCCTCACAGCCGGGAATTTCTTTCCAATATCCCATCTAAATCTACCGTTTCAGCCATTCCTCCTTGTCCTGTGCCTGCAGGCCCTTTTCCAAAGTCCTTCTCCAGCTCTTTCATGGGCCCTTTAGCCACTGGAAGGGGCTCTAAGGTCTCCCCTGAGCCTGCTCTTCTCCAGCTAAACAATTCCAGTGCTTCCACCCTGTCACCAGAGCAGAGGGCCTCCAGCTCTCTAATTAGGGGATTTATTCAATTTTACAGTTTTTCATTTTTACATTTCAGGGTGCCAGTTATGCAAACCAAGACCTGAACATGACATTTTCTAGATATTTAGAAAAGAAATACAAATCAAAATGTACATCTGGTCAGCACAAATGTTTGTGTTTTACCAGGCAGCAGTGCAGCGTCAGACACCAGTCTCAGTTGAAAACAAAAATAATACTAATTCTATTAATAAAAACAGTAATAAAATTCTTGATTGTAGTAGATTTATTCTGATAAACATGCCTGAAGAGTATTAAAAAAGTGGTCTGTATGGAACATCTGCTTATGTAAATATAAAGATGGAAGCTTACTTAAACATGATTCTTTGGAGTTGTAAGGGTAAAATCAACCCAGCAGAAAAGTGAATGCCATGGCTAACTGCAAATCATTACAGGTAGCTAATAGTGAAGAACACTAGGGCTTGCAGGAAAGTTTTCCAAAAGCATTTTTAGAAGACAGTTGATGATTAAAATTAGGGCAAATTTTATGCAGAGAAGCTTAATCTCAGCTTGGTTGAAATTTCAAAAGATCATTCTGGCAAAACTCCATCTGGGTGTTTCAATAAAGGCATTTGTGAAAAGCAAAAAGCAGTGACACATTCAAGTTTTTTACTTTAGTGGGAAGAAATGGTATTGAAAGAAGAATAGCATATTTTAAAAGAAGAATAGTGTTTCTCCTCTGCACAAATGCAGGTACATGAAGTTGTTGATGAACTTTCAGCTCAGGTACAGAAGGTTTTGGATGTGTAGCTCTCGTTGAGAGGTACCTCTGTGGTTCCAGCCCCAAATATATTCATATTCCCAGGGAAAGATCCTCTGGGCATGATCCATGATGCTGTTGCAGCCCAAGGCAAAGCATGGAAATACCCACATTTTCAGGGGATACTGACTAGTAGGCATTTCTGTAGAGCTCAAGTGGAGCAAAAATAATTTAAAGCTCACAGCTGAGGAATGGTGCAAGGATGGGGCAGGGAAGGTTCAAAACACTCCGGCAGCTGCAGCTGCACGTGTTACTCAGGATGGTCAATGCTGGATTAAATGAAATATGTCTTGAAAGAAAGGATCCAGTGCCAAATTATTTGTTCTTTGGAGAACAAAGAGTGAACAATGAGTCCAGGTAAACTCGCAGGTGTGCATCAAGTCCAGTTCAGCTCTAATTACTTTTTGCATCTTGTCCAGCTACGAGAGTCATCAATATGAGCTCTAATAATGTGGCTTGATGTCTAAAAATAGCCTTGAAATTGTAAAATGAAAAAAAATAATAAAAAAACCACAACTATATGTAAAATCTTAATTTTACGGATTAGGACAGTGTATTTTCATGGTAAACCACAGAGTGATTAAAGTGATTAAAATAAAAAGAAAAGCCCAAACTCGTAACACTCATTTGAAGTGAGGAGGAATTGTTCAATACATCCTGTATGTTCCAGGAATGGGATGTGGGTGGGAAGAGGTGAAGAGAAACCAGTCCTATAGAAAATATTTGCTCTCACTGAGGCCAATTGCTGCTGTAGTAAGTGGCTGAAAGAAGTGGCAAAACAAACAGAAATAATCAGCATGGAATTAAAGAGGTATGGGTTTAAAAGCTAGTGCTTGGTGCGTATTTACTCAGTAGATTAGCCTAGTAATTGTCTCTGGGACTTCTGTTTGGTCTTTTGCTGAGATTCCTTTGGGTTTGTTTTCCAGGGACAAGGAGTTTAAGATCATGAATTGGAGATAGATAGGTGGGTTGCCTGCCTGCTGTGGTATGATCTAGAGGCTTAATAACAATAATGACATGGGGGGAGTTTTAGCAGTCAAAATAAAATAGATTTGCTAACAACATGTGGTTCTGTCAGGATGTTCTCATGGAGGCTGTAATTTCTTTTTGCCTGTAGATGTGGAAAATATATTTTCCCTGTTTTAATATTTTTGTGTGTGTCATCATAGTGCTTGCAGCATTATGCCTCTGAGTTTTCTCAAGTCATTTGGAAATCCAGTGAAAAATAGGGAACTTGGGCTCTGATGCAGAAGCATTGTTGGTATTCTGTAAATGTTAAAAATACCCTAGTTTCCAGATTCTGTCAAAGCACACATACAGACTCAGAAAAGGTATTTGTTATGTTTGAAGTCATCTATATGTTATATGTTGTTTTAATCACCTCTCATTGAAAGTTTTGTTTAAAATTGCTGAACAAGGAATGTTGTGACAATAAAACTTACGTATGAAGTTAAAGGCTAACATTAGGTGGCCAAGGGGAGAGCTGCTCCATAACTCAAAGAGCAACTGTATAAACAACAAAGTAATAGAAAAGTGGAATGAACAAAAATTTTTAAAAAATTAATGATTTACTGTAAAGCAGACTTTGTCACTTGAAAAGGGAGATACGTTATATGTGTATGTCCTTCTATGCTCTTCCCTATGGTTTTGACCCTGCTGGCCCCTTTCAGCCAAGCCAAACAGACATGCAGTGCTTGTAAAGATAAGAAGTTACAGTCAGATCATGCCAAGATGCTACCAAGCAGGCTGAACTGCATGATCAGTTCAGTAGATCTTGGAAATTTGTGGGGGGGGAAGACATGTAATGAATACTCCCAGCCAGCCCAAGTACTAAAATTAATCAGAATTCAACAATACAGGGATCCATAGGGGACCGTGCTACTCAGAAATTACTTTTTTGGGTGTTTTTTTGTGTTTTAGTGTTCAAGATGTACCAGTCTGAGCAGATAATGTCACAACATTAGTTGCTTTGTGCTGGGGATGAGGCAGAGGAGCTGTTGAATGGCACTGATGGAGGGTAGCCGTGGGCTGATGCTTGGCAGAGCAGCCAGCATCGGCCACCCCGAGGTCTGGTATTTGTTTTGACCATTAACTGTGACTGATTTACAGTCTGGTGTCAATAAAACCTCAGTGGATGGCTTCGCTGTTGGCGGCGGCGCTGCATTGTTTCTGTGTTTGCTCTGCAGGGCAGTGCGGCCGCCTGCTCTCGCCGCACCTCGGCTCCCTGCAGGTCCTTCACGGCAACGGCACCGATGTGGGGACAGTGGTGGCGTTCCAGTGCTCCGCCGAGCACCAGCTGGAGGGACCGGACACCGTCACCTGCGTTTGGAAAGGGAACAGCACGCAGTGGACAGCCGGAGTGCCCTCCTGCAAGCGTAAGGCTCTTCCCAAACCCTGCCCCTCGCTCTGGGATGGGCTGCCTTCCTTCTGCCCTGCCTATCCTGAAACGTTCGGATTCTTTCTAGATACCTGTGCAAAGAAAAAGACAAATTCAATTTTCTTCAAAGTTGCCCCACTGATGGTAATTCCACTCCATATATGTTCTGACATGCCATTATCACGACACACAGAAAAGATTCTGTTGGATTCATCCCTGATCTCATGTCACTGGTATGGCCTGGAATAACTCTGCCTTCAGCAAAAAGCTGTATGCTTCTTTAGAGAATGTATGGGTGTCTCGGTTTAGAGACAAGTTTAGGAGAAAAACACTCTGGAATGAGTGTTTCCTGTAAAAAAAAGGGTTCCAACAATCCCTTTCCACCAACAAGAAATGAATACTAGTGGATGAAAGTGAAAAAACCGTTTATTGACAAACAGACTGCCCACACGGCACGGGAGAAAAAGTAAATAAATGCTAGATATTGAACTGTCAGACTTTAACACACACACACACCCGCTCCGGGGAAAAAAACCCCAAAAACAAACAAACAAACAAACAAAAAAAAAACCACAAAAAACCCCCCAAAAAATAATTTAAAAAAAAAACTAAAAAAAAAACCAAAAAAAACACCAACCCCAAAACCAAACAAACAAAAAAAAAACAACCCACAACTCCAGAGCAAGATAAAAACCCACAACGGCCGGTGGGGGAGAAAGATGGCACCAGTTCCTGCCTCAGGGAAAAAACCAAAAGGTTCATGCAGCAGCTTGCGCAAACACATGGGCAGCCGGTGAATCTGTGGTGTTGGTCCCTTGTCCACAGACACAAGAGGTGAAGCAGGTGTGCTTTCCCTCCCCGGTTTGGGCTTTTTCCCAGGTCTGGGGCCAAAAAGGAGCAGCCCCTCTCTCCTGCCGGGCCCGGCCAATTCTTCCCCTGGCGCTTGTTCTCTCTGATCTTGGACCAAAACCAAACCGTCCCATTCACCTCGAAAAGCAGCTGAAGGATTGCTGCTGCAGCCTCTTCAAGCCCAGGAAAAAGAAAGAAAAAGAAAAAAAACCAAACCAAATTTCCGCCTTGGCTAACAAAAAAACCCAAACTAGCCAAGCAAAACCCAGACTGCACCACACCTCCCAGACGCGGGGGGAGTGAGGCTTTGAAAAACCCAGCAAAGGCCCCCAAGGCTCCCCCTTCCCCCAGGCCCACCTTAAAGACACAGCAATCATTTTGGGGTCTAAAGCAGAGGATCAGGGAACCGACCATCATCATAAATCACCCCAGCACTATGGGAATGACCTACTGATGTGCAAGTGTATTTGTGAACCTCTTATCTCCTGGCAGTCTTTTCTGACAATGTTTTTGCTGTAAAAGAAGCATGGTGATATTTTTTGAACAATTCTTGGTTGTTGCAGCTGCATGGGAAATTTACCATATAGAGAAATAGTGTCTGAATGACAACAGCATTAATTACCTTTTAGGTGTGTTTCTGCTTGTTTATTATAAGGTTGTTAATAGTTTGACCAGAAGTAGACTCAAGCAAATCTCGGTACCTCTGAGCTTTGAGGTGCCTTAGACCTTGTGTCATTTCAAATCCCCAGTGGATATATTGCTCTTACAGACACTTAGTGCTCTCTCCCACACTCAGTTATTCTCATCTCTTCTTTGGAGATCCCATAAAAGAAAACATGAGAGAAATCCTTCCCCTAGAGGCTGCAGAAGTATAATGCTTTGTGTGGAGCTCAGCTGAACCGTTTGTGATGCTGGTCATTGTGACATTGGGAGAACTAGCTGAGTTTTGAAGCAAGACATGCTTACTGCTCCAAGTGAGTTGGCATTATGAAAGAAGTGTGTGAGCTGTGCCACATCACTTTTCTACTCCTCCTTTTGTCTGAATAATTCACATCCTGCATCCTTGCCCAAACAGAGGAAGACCTGTTGTTTGCTGCCTGCCAAAGACGATGTAATTACATGGAACTGTCCTTGCTCTAAATGGCTTCTTTAAGCTCATTTACCCGTGTTAGTGTTCGTTTCTGTAACTTCAGTCCTTGTTAATAAAGAGTCTGCAGCTCATCTGCATTTGATCTGCTGGCAGAGTTGTACTTTTGAGCTACTGCAGTGCTAAGGGCACTGTGTTTAATTAATTGCAGTGGTGAAATGCTTGTGAACAATTCATTAGTAACTTATAAACAGGAGATTTTTACATAGTCCGGTTTGAGGCTTGCATAGGTCAAAGCTGAAGCCAAGATTCTCTGGTATCTTGACACATAGTAATGTGAAAGTCCTCACTGAGCAGAAGTGTGAAGCAGGTAGGTTTCAGCAGGGTTTAATGAAAATGTGAAAGATAAATTCATGGACTGATCTTATAATCGTTTCTGTGTTTGCTTTGCTGCAGCCATATCAAAATACGAGACTTTTGGCTTTAAGGTCGCAGTGATTGCCTCCATTGTGAGCTGTGCTGTCATTCTGCTGATGTCCATGGCTTTCTTAACTTGCTGTCTGATTAAGTGTGTGAAGAAAAGTGAGAGGAGGAGAACTCAAAGGTATGTCAAGAAGACAGTTTTAATAACACTGTAAGAGTGTACATCATATGGACCCCATTGCTGTGATAACAAGTGCTTCAAAGGATTTGCTGCTTGCAGCACTGAAATGATGTTAATTACTTAAAATCCTTAATTTGTAGGTCAGGCTTTAGGCAAAGAAGAACTTGGAATTCCAGAGTATTTAAATACATGATGCGGGTTAGTATCAGATAACCTCAGCAGGCCCAGGCAGATAGGGATTTACCCATGATTATGCAGGATCTGAACACACAAATCTTATTTTCTGGCACAGCATTTCTCTCCTCAAGTTATTGAAGATTGGCAGTGTTTTCCCTTTTCTCTATTCCTTTTCTGTTTTCCTTTCTTTCTTTTAACACTGCTGGGAAATGGAATCTCCCTGTGTCAGAGCCATCCAAGGCCTCTCCATCTGCAGAGCATCCTCAAAGCTGTCCCAGCATGGGTGCTGAAGGACAGAGGATTTTGTCTTTTGGCTTGGAGCACAAATCAGTGGATTATGAACAGGAATAGGAAAATGTCAAATTTTCAGTCCAGTTCATTATAAAAACTCAGTGTGGATAGTGTCAGCAGGAGCACATTTGCCTGTAGGCTGGAGCCAAGCTACTGTTGCTTATGAGAGCATCCACCTACAGTCACTGCTGCAGAAATCTTTCCACAGGAGCTTGGTTTTCCATCTCACTTTTTTTGCTGGTTATTCCCACCAGGCTCTCCAGTGGAGTGGAGGGAGACTGGGGGAGACAGTAGTGAAGGTTTCTGTGCTGAGCTGTGATTTATCTGAAGCTGTGTGGGAACCAGCTGAAGGGGGAATTTCTGTCATTTGAAATCCAAGTGTAGCCAAAATAGAGATTTTCTGTTTCTCTTAAAAGATTTTTTTGTGTCAAAAAATGAAAGTCCTTAGTGTCAATCATAATATTCAGGTTTTTACTGGTAGCATGAAATAAGTTGCTTTGAAATGAAAGGTTAATTGCATTTTTGGAATTGCCACTTTTCTTTTTGATAAGACTATTCGTATCACAGTCCTTGTTTTTCATTTATTTTAAATGAAGTTTTGTGAAAACTAGCCATTTTCATTATTGTGATGACTTGATATTTTTTCTCTTACAAAATAAAACGCCTTCACACTGGACATAATGACCTGATTCTGTCATCAGGCTGTAAAGTTATTCCTTTTGCTGAGACCTTGTCAGTTCCCTGCTCCCTTGTGCTTCTTTCCCTGTCTCCTGAAGGAGCTGCTACATCCCACTGGCAACAGAGCCCAGCTCCAAGGAGAAACCTGGGGGCACTGCAGGCATTGTGTATCTTATCCCTTCTGTCAGAAAGAATTGAAGTCATGTACAGCCTGTCCATGTCATGGGAGAAAAAGTAACATAACCCTGTGCAAAACTTGTCAGGTGGAGTGGCAGCATCTCTGTTGGCAATGGAGGTGGAAAAATGGATTGACTTCTGAATGCACAAATCATTAATCAGACAAAAAGCTGCAGGCTTGATAACTTAATACAAAATGAGAACTCTTGGGGAGGAAATAATGAACTAAATGTCTCTTAGACCAGATCTGAAGGATGAGGTAATCTGTACCTATGGAGCAGAGTGGATCTCCTCACCTTGCCTGTGGCTCTGAGGTCTGCATGTCTGCTTCTTTTGGCTCTTACTTGGTCACCTGAGAGATCATCTCTGCCTGCAAACCTGCCTTGCAAGGTGTCTAATGATCTTTGAAGTGCCATCTTATGTTTAATAGAATCATAGAATCATTAGGATTGGAAAAGACCCTTAAACTGAGCTGTCAACACAGCACTAACACCATGTCCACAGCTAAACTGCCACATCCACATGTGTTTTGAAGAGAAAAGGGACAAAGGCTGCTGAAAGTCCTCCCACCATTTAGGCTCCTCATAGATCTTGCCCTGCTGAGGAAATGTGGCTGCTGTTTTCTTTGGAAAGAGCAGGATTGCATCCCAAGAAGACAGAAATGGGACCAAAATCAGCATCGCTAGTTCTCACAATTTGATCTTCTCCCATCAGCCAGTGAGAGTGTCTGTGATTCTGTGAGTCTTAGACTTCTTTTAAAAACAAGAAAAGAAATGGTGGATTTTTTTCTCTCACCTCAGAATTGCAGAGAGCAGCATGGAAACAGCTCTGAATATTTCCAAAAGAGAATTCTGACAGTGAGGGAATATGCCCTATGCTTAACAAAGGCAACACTACCTGTCTCCTCCATTTTTAAGTAAATATCTTTTTAACCTGCGTGGTGATTTTGGAAACATTAAGAATAGAGTGATGCAAAAAGTCACAGAAATTTTTTTTTCCTGAAATAATTTATCCCATAAAATGGAGATGATATGAAGTCTTTTTACACACAACAGGTTGTGGCCTGATGTCACTGTTGAAGGTCCATTAGAACACTGACACATCATCCCACCTTATATGACTTTTCTTACTACATGTAATCTGGAAAAACACTGAATGAAATGGACATAATTCTTGGAGGTTTGTTCCTTTGAACTATCCACTGGTGCTCCTAAGAAAATTGTTCTCATTTTCTTGTTTGTTTGCTTTTTTTTTTTTTGAGGAGCGCTGGACAGTACTTAAAACAACGCTATTTTACACAATAATATTTATGCTACTGAAGAACTCCCTATCCTCGGGTGTTATTTAAATTTCTGCAAGTTTGGCTTACACATGAATTTCAGCACGTGTTTAAGTACTTTCTTCAGTAAACCTGGAATGAGATTTAAGCTCTACTGAGTCAGGTCTGTGGTCGGATAACAGCTCAGCTGTACAGCCATATATGACAAAACTGTTTCTACTGCTTTGTATATTCACAGAGAAATGCAGCTGTGGTACCAGCTGAGGACTGAAGAACTAGAGCACATGCAAGCTGCTTACTTTGGTTTTAAGGGAAGAAACAATAACAACAGTAAGAAACTCAGGAATACATCTGTATCTGGTGATGCGACTGACATGGCATATGATAACCAAGGCTTCTACAGGTAAGGCTGTTAAAATAAAGTAAGTTTGAGTGAGTTGATGGGAACCTGGCTAATCACTAACCAGAGCTAAAACCAGCTATGGGAGCAGGTATATCAGTCTGTGCACCCCTAGCCAAAAGTCTGGCTGTTTTGCATATGGAGAGTGGCACTGCTTGTAATCAGAGATGGAAGCGTTGCTAAAGGTGATTCTGAATAAAACTGCCCTGGAATTGCTCTTGGAACAGATGTGACCCTTTATTATTTATGTCTTGTTCCCCTTTTCCACTCAAATAAGAGCTGTTTAATCAAGTAATTTCAAGTGATTTTTATTCTTTAATTCTGTAAAATGAATAGACATGCCAGATGAGATGGGGGACTTCTGCTACTAGATTTCATGAAGACAACAAATGGCCTGTCAGTTTTGTATTTCACTTGCAAGATTTTTTTTAGTGTGTGTAACAAATTAGGCTAAGTTTCCTCATCCTGTGTTCAGCTGGCTTACTGGGAACAGGAGAACAGTGCAAGTACTGGGGGGGTGCAAACATGGAGCTGGGCTGTGCTGAGAGGACCAGAATGGAAAGACACATTACCTGTCTGTCTGATTGCTGTGGTACTGTTTCCCCTCCAGTGTGAGGTGGGAATGTTGGCAGCATGTGCCTGGAGGAAATCTCTAAACCTGGGTGCAACCACTGTTGCTGCAGTGGTGAAGCTGTTACAGTATTGATTGTCCAAAGAAATAAATACAGGCACGTGGCATGGTTGGAAAACAGCAGCAAAACTGAGGGCAGGCAGTCCCAAATGAAAGATTCTATATATTTCTGCATACCTATGGTCAAGAACCAAAAGAGAATTTAACCAGGCTTCCTCAGGGAAAGTTCAGTCTTGACATGAGTAGGCATTTGTGTACCAAGAGGGTGGTCAGACCATGGAACAGGGTTCTGGAGAGGGGGTCAGTGTTGGTGGCCCAAACTGGCATTGCTCAAGGGACATTTTGGCAATGCCCTTAGCAATGAGCTTTCGTTTTTGTCAGCCATAAAGAGGTCAGACGGTTGGACCCAATGATCCTTGTGAGTCCCCACTGAAATATTTCAGTCTAGTCCAGTCTAGTGTAGTCTACTGTAGTCTATCAGCACCCTATCCCTATTCTATCCTACCTTATCCTCTTGTGTTAAGGTTTCAGACATCTGGAGGAATTGCCCAATGCATGAAGAGATCTCTGAGCACAGCAGCAATCCTGCTTGGTTTTTCTAGGCAGGAGCTGTCTGAGGAAGCACAAATCTTCTCCTCCCTGCCTTTCCCAGGGCTGTGGTACATGCTGTTTTCTGCAACCCAGCCATGGGAAGTGGCTCTGCAGCCCACTTAGAAGGGGAAGATGAGATGAGTGCTGCCCATTTCTGACAAGGGAGGGGGTGGAGGCCTGACAAATTCAGTCATTTTTATGATAGCTTTCTCTCTTTTCTCAAAGAAACTGTTCTGCTGCTTCTTGTAGCATATGAAGTATCTGGAAGAGTAAGAACTCCTCCACCCTTGAAGAAGACTCTCTTGAGTATATCTTAATTTATTTTTGACTAGAAAAGCATGTAGGTCATGCTACTTTTCAGACTTAATTTAATAGATTTTGAGATTAACATTTTGATTCAGTACTTTAGGGTCAAAATACTGTAAGTAGAGATAAAATAAAAAGCTAATTCTTTTAGGTAAGGCAATATAAAATAAAAATTCAATTCTTTCAAGCAGGTAAGGTATTAACAAATACAGATTTACAAAACAAATAAAGGTTTACAGACAAATTTAGGATTAAAACACTCTAATCAGTTAAAGAGAGGCCTTAGTATGCTGATGAGATAATTTTGGCTGCAGTGAAGTGGCACAATGTGGGTGCAGAGTGCTGATGTGCAGAGGTGATAAATAACAGAGAAGCCCAGCTGTGTGACTGTAGGGGCTCCACTGTGCTGTTCTGGACCTGGCTGCCACAAAGTGAGAACTTTCCCCCCTCATGTTTGAAGCATATCACAAACATCATGAATATGTAGTTTTGCAGGGAAACATTGAGTTTTAGTGGCAACTGCTTTAATTATAATGATCCTCAATCTTACTGCTTTTCTAGTTGAACAAATTGCTTTAAAATGATAAGAAATATGTGTACAAATACCCGGGATCATTAACTACAGAGTGCTGTCACTCCAGATGCCACCTCTTTCATTTGGATGTAAAGAATCATAATGAGGATGAACACACCAATTTTTAGCAGAAGGTCTTATACGCATGAGCTGCAAGTATTTACAGTGTATTTGCTCTATTATATTATTGAAAACACTACATAATGTTGAGCAGGGAAAAGCAAGTTACAGATCATGGTGCTGCTGGGAGGGAGGTGTTTCCCCAGCATTGCTTCTGAGAAGTTCAGAGAGCAGAGATAGCAGTTTTCTCTGTGGTACAGAGGTTTGAGCCAGATTAGCTAAAAACAAGGGTCTGTGTCTAGGGAAGGGAGATTAGCTGCAGCCCTGGGCCACGTAGTTAGAGGAGAACAATGTCTATGAGCCTCCAAAGCAGTCCCCAGGAGGACTGCTGGGCAGAGAGCTTGTCAGCATGTTGGCAATGGCTCTCAGAGCCTGACTGCAAGATGTACCAGGATGTGTTATTTTTGACTCAGTTATTTTCTGATGAAGAATAATACTTGACCCTGCAGTAACTCTTCTCTGGAGCACTTGCTTGGGCACTCACCTCCCAAGACAAACAGCCCTCTGCCATCCCAGCAAGCAGCAATGTGGGAGAGCTAGGATCAGCCATCTGCCTGAGACGGCAGGTTGTCTTCTGCCCCATGACAGCCACAGGGTAAAATATCAGTAAAGAGAAACTTAATGGCAGCTGTCCTTCCTCTGTGCCAGCTGCTAGTAGTGTTTGAGAGATGGAGGTCAAGGTCACTGAGATGCTATGTTAAAGAAATGGGTGTCCAAAAGAAGAGTGGGGTCAGCTTAATGCTGGCAAGGGCTACACTTACCCACTGCTCATGGTCAGCTGCAGCTGCTCCCCAGCTGAAAGTGTTCCAAGGCTTGACAACTCTTTGTGTGAAGAATTTTTTCCCAATATCCAACCTAAACGTCCCCCAAAATGACAGAGCTTGAAAAGTGCCTTCAGTTTTCAACAAGGAGGCAAAGCTTCACAGCAAACTAGTGCAACAGCCGTAGCAGAGCTGTTGCTCTAGGAATACAGGGTGAGGAAGCATAAATAAGCAATTGCTCTGATAAATTCCATTGCCAGTTTTTAAATCTGTAAAGAATTGTCCTGTCCTGTCCACTTCTGTAATGTATATCAATTAAATGTTAAGCATCCATTCAGGAAGGGGGCTGTCCCTGTGCTTGTTTAAGTAGTTTGTAGCATTTACACTTGTTCTGTAAGTGAAGCGATCAGTTCCATAAAAACACAAGGAAATGCAAGTGTTCTGTGCCAGAAATGGGATCTTGAATCCAACTGGAACCACTTTTGGTCTGACAAAATATGCACAACCTAGTCTATGGTGAGAGCAAACAGCAAACCCTTCTGGCATTGAGACATTAAAGAACCAGGCACTTCTCTTTTGGAACCTATTTATATATCAGTATGTGTAGAAAATACCATCCCAGGTGCAGCACAGATAGCAAGTGTAAAGAAATTGCTGAGAGAGCTCATTTCAGTTTGCATCATCTTCCTAGTGATGGTCAGAAATAGCTACACCTTGGCTCTGTTGCTCTGCTTTTCAGTGTAAAAGTCCTATAACCTGTTCTGGAATAGACACTCCCTTGACTCAAGGGATGTGCTGATTTTTTTGTAAGGAAGAATTGATGATCCAGCATTTTCCATACTCAGAGAACTGAATGTAGCTGTACACTAGCTCCTTTTCATTCTCTGTCAGCTAAGATGAGAACCAGAAAAAAAAATGGTAGTCCAGCTCAAAAACGCAATCTAAAGAGAATCAAAGAAATTGGGTGTGTTTTTTTGTCTAGCGTGGAAGCATTTGGAAGAAGTTGAGCATTCCAAATTTGGACTGCTTAGAGGTGAATTATTTTTCACAACTCTAAGTCAAGTTACAAAACATTATCTGTGAAGTAGCTGATCTGACTGCAGAAGCTAGTCTAATGGAAAAGCCCATGTCTCAGTAGGGTTAAAGTCCTCCCTTCAGCTATTGACACAGCTGGAGCACATTACCAAGAAGAAAAAATCCTTCTGCAGAGAAGCAGGCTGGTATATTCTCCCACAGAAGATATTTTTAGTCACTGAAATTTTTGTACCAGAGACCTTTCTGGCTAAAAGATGCTTTACCATTCTACCTGGCAAAAAGCAAATAAGGGCAATCCAACAACAAAGAATTCCAACTGAAAAGGTTTTGTAAAAAATCACAAAGCCAGCATGCTATCAGGAGAGGCAGCTCAGCATTTTCAGCATCACTGTGGGGCTTAATGCTGCATCACATACATCATCCATTGATACAATTGTATGGAATTGATACAGTTCCCTACACAAAATGTTTGATTGCATGGCAACATGAAGGGGAGGAGACCCAGCACAGGAGAGGAGCAGATTTGCTTTCCCTTCTTTTCCCTGCTTTTCCCTGTGACTGGTCCAGCCTTGAGGTTCTCTATTCATGGAGTTCTTTTTATTTTTACCTCTTGTTTTTCTTGTACTCTGTGTTCCCCACCACCACCTTTTAGAGGCTCAGATCTTCCCAGAAACCTTTCGACATGCAGGTTTCAAAGAAAGCTGAGACAGGGGAAGTGAGCTGTGGTTTCACCTTGGGGCCCTGTTAGAAGGGTAGGGTAAACTGGCTTTTAAGTTACTCCCGTTTCTGAATTTCAGTCTTAATTGTCATTGCAAGACCTCGAAGGGGGTGTGTACAGCAACATGTGCTTTCAATAGTGCTGCTATTATTGTTTCCATAATGCTTTCCTGATTACCCCAGGGTCTTGTACAAAGCCTCTAGGCATACAGCAAGAAAAAAATCCCCTCCCACCCTCTAGTATAAAAGCTGTTTTGAGACACAGTGCCAGCACCAGGCAGCTTTGTGGCTGCGTTCGCACACATCTTGGATGTCCTGTTAACAGTGTTTTCCCTCCAGCAAGGAGCATCTCTCAAGTCACACAGAAAAATATTCTTGTGAATCCTCTAAATCCCACTGACAATGCTGTGATGGCTGTTCTTCTCCCCTGATGGGAGCTCCAAATTTTATATGTCAGATAAAGGCTGTCCTTGTCAAATGCATCATGCATTTGGCTGTGCAGCACCCAGGGCAGGTTTATATTGCCAGGAAAGGCTGCAGAGAAGGGTTCTGATCCTCTTGCTGTGGTGTTTTGAAGTAGCCATTTGGGAACTGGAGCTGAGGAAAGTTGAAGTGCTGAAAATACAGTCATACTTATTCAGGACAAAGTACAGAGCTTCCAAGGATGAGAGAGCAAACTGAAGACTGTGTCTGACTGAGGGTCATGCACACAGAGCAAAGCCCACTGCCTGCACAGTAGTCCCTTGGTAACACTGCAACCCTCTTAATAGCTCTTCTCATCCTCTGCTGAGGTGAAACCCCACTGCCTTCACTGTCCCTCTGATGTCCTCAGGGTTTAATCTATTGCAGGAAAGAGAGGTGCCTGCTGTCTCACCTTACACTTATAGAACCACATAATGATGGAATAGTTTGGATGGAAAGGGGCCTTAAAGACCATCCCGTTCACCCCCTTGCCATGGGCAGGGACATTCCACTAGACCAGGGTGCTCCAAGCCCCAACCAGCCTGGCCTTGGACACAGCCACAGCTTCTCTGGACAACCTGTGCCAGCAGATGTCAATGAAAGCTTAATAGTTCCTGAAATTGGATGAATGGGTTGCTAAGCCAAGAGTATATTTTTTCTCCAAGTACAGTTTTAGCCAGTTTGGGTTCCTGAGTGGTGGACTGTGGGTAATTGAAGTGTTTCACAACATAGAGCTTTATAGGGGAAAACATCAGAGTGGGATGACCATTGCCCAGGTGGACTTATTTATTGCTCTAAAACCAGCATAACAAGACTTGAGCTATAATTCTGGCAGAACAATTTGCAAAGACTTTTGTTTTCAAAGGCTGTTTTGCTGGCCCAGGCAAAACTTTATTCCAGTCCTTCTCTGTCTGTGTGCTGCTTTGGTTTGATTTTTATTTTGACCTTTGACTACCATCTCAAGAAGATGGAACTAAGTTCCTTATACTATAAAAAATAAATAAGTGCACAACAGCAAGTATCTCAGAAGATTTTATTTTGGCAGCAAGGTGTGCATCATTACCCCATGTAGCTTCTGTTCCCTGATGGCAGGTCATGGGGTTTTCAGTGTTTGGTTGGTACCCAGCAAAAAAGTACTTGAGGTCTTGTTGAGGCTTTTACAGAGACACGACTATTTGCCCCATTGCTGCCAGCTGGTTTTGATGCTGGGAGAAGCAGTTCTTTACGTTACAGCACAAGTCATTTGCGAAACACCTGATGTGCCAATAAAATGCACAAATTCTGTACCTTCACCAGAATTAATGAAACAGAAATAACTTTTCCCTTTGTGCTTACAGGTCCCAGGGAGAGCGGACTCGGGATGTCGTAGTTCCTGGGTGTTGCAAAGACAACAGTCACCTGCTGAAGGTAGCCAAGAGCAGTGGTGCACCTGGGGCACACACGGTACCGAGACACAACGCTGCACTGCAGACGGTGAACTCCATACACGTTGTTGAAGTCTACAGTCATAAGGATAGTTACAGCAAACCAACCTGCCAGTTACCTGGATAGCTGGTGTCTGAAATGCAACTGCTTCTCTGGACCAAAATGAAATGTCAATAGAAATATGTGCCTTAAAGACAACATAGAAAGTTCATTATTCATATGAACTGTAAGTTTTCTATATTCCAAGATGGTTATTTAAGAGAAATGCTTCAAGGTCTGATACAAATAAAGATGTGAATATTGGGGCTGTCAATCCAGAGCTGTTCTCTGTAGTGTGCTGTGCAGTGTGACCATGATGAAAGCACAGTGCTCTTCTGCACAGCATAGAGGCATATTTGCCTTATATGAAGTTGCTGATAATAATTGCACACCTCTCAGATTTCAGTCTTCTCTGAATCAGTGGGTTTTGTAAGAATTTCAGAAAGAAAACTCCCCCATATTTTTACAAAGTAGCATGATAGAACTACAAAAAAATTTGGTTTTAATTAAATGCCCCATTGTTTTGTATTAGAAAGGTCTTTAATTCATCTGCTCTGTGTTTAGAGACCATGTAAGACTGGGTGCAACAAAGGCCCGTCTGCAGGTCTGCCAGCCTATGGGAGAGAAGATGGCACATGGAGGGGTGTGGTGTGGTGCTGTGGCACACCTTGGGACCCCCACCAGTGACCTCCTGTAGCTTCTACTGGTGTCCCAGTGTGAGAGCAGTTGATGTGCAGGTGGGGACAGCAGTGCAGCCTTCCTGGAGCAGGCAGCTCGGGATCGCTGCAGCATCATCCCTGTGACACCTCTCTAAATAAAGGGCTGAGGTAGCTTTTGAATGCCTGCCTTCTTTTCCTGTTGTTAATCTGTACATCATGTGAGGAAACAAGGTGGGTTTTTTTTCTTGTTTTGTCCTTTTTGAATAGTTATATGCAAATAGATGTATATATTACTTATAGTATAGTTATTTTTGTTCCAGTTGAAGTCTTACTTAATACTATCATCAGTTTTCTGTTTGATGGGTATCATCACATCCCTCTCGTGGGTGGAAGCATGACCTTATAGCAGGCTGCAGTAATTGTTTTGTGGTATATTCCCTTGGTATGAATCCAGTATCCTCTCACAACCTGCAGTTCTGAAGCTTCAGTTTTGAAATTCAAATTACTGTAGCTTGCTGGCAAATGCCCTCTTCTATCCTGGCCATACTCTGCAGAGATCAAAAACATGTGCTTGAAATTCAGTAAGATGGACGTTGCAGCAGAAGAGCTTTCTTATTGTTTCTAATAAGCTCCATTCTGCTGTACATTACACCAAGGTGCACCCTGCAACACACTTCTCACTACGCACTGCAAAAAGGAGAATGGATGTACTTCCCATCACTCCACCCAATTAAGTTCTCAGTTCATCCAGTTAATGCTAGCTAGTGTTTATCAGGATGCAGTTGTGCTGTGAACTATTCTGCCTGCAGTTTTCAGTCGCCTGTCAGACCCAGACAGCTTCTCTACCCAGCAGTGTGGGCAGCAGGTCAAGGGAGATGGTTCTGTCCTTCTGCTCTGCTCTGCTGTGCTCTGGTAGGATCTCAAACAAAGCTCTGTGTTCAGCTCTGGGGCCCCAGCATAGGAAGGACATGGAGCTGTTAGAGGGAGTCCAGAGGAGGCCACAGAGTTTCTCCAAGGGCTGGAGCCCCTCTGTTCTGCAGCCAGGCTGGGAGAGCTGGGGGTGTTCACCTGGAGAGGAGAATGCTCCAGGAGAGCTCAAAGACCCTTGCAGGGCCTAAAGGGGTTCCAGGAGAGCTGGAGTGGGACTGGGAACAAGGGGGAATGGTTCCCCACTGCCAGAAGGTTAGATGAGATACAGGAAAGAAATTCTTGTCTGAGAGGGTGTTGAGTGCCCTTAGAAAATTGAAAAGGGCAAACCTAACTTTAATATGGGGAGAGAAGACAACCTCAAAAGTACCAGAATGGAAGGATTTCTCTTATCCCCAGAAGTGTAGAACAAATGGTTAAACAAGTCCTTCACAAAGAAGATACATCTCAGCCTAGGATTAAAAAGAGTTATAGGCATGGGAGGGAGGTGTTCTGCCCTACTGGCAGTATTATGCTTAAGGTACACATGTGAAGGGTGGCCAAGATATCCTTAATCCTGCCTCTCTGTAGCGCCTTTGAATTTCCTATCTCTTCCCATCTCTATGATTATGTTCACAGAATTCCATTATTTGCTTCCCTGATGTTTTAATTTTATTATGTGGCTTTTAAATGCACTAATATGACTGCAAGTGAAATTAATTCCCTGTTGGGATGTTTGGGTCAACACTTTGTGTGAGCAGACAGCCTGGCTCCTGTTCTGCATGAGGTGGAGCTGAGTAATGTTGGATGGGACAAAAAGTGCACCCTTGGGCTGCCAGGGATGCTGGCAGCCATGGGAAGCATCCCAGAAGGCAGGTAGATTCACTGTCCCTGTGCCAGAGCTAAATGACTATCATTTACTTGGGCAGCTAACCCAAGAGGCAGCAAAGTTACACCAAGATAAGGAAGTAACACCCAAACTGTTTGTGAAAGATTTGTGGCTTGGCTCCCTCTGGGACTGTGCTTAGTTCTGATGGCTGCACCCCCTGGAGTTAGCTTTATTGCTCGTGCAAACATAATTTATTGTCAGAAGGGAAGTAAGTGCTGTGTGGGAAGGAGATGAAAGCAGCTGACACTCTAAAATAGACATTTAAAATCTTGTAACCCTTAAAGGTTTGCTGTCCGGTGGTTCCAGCTGGATTCAAGCTCTTAATTCTGCTACAGAACACTTGCATTTCCTTGTGTATTTCATAAAACTGATGACTTGCACACTGCTCGCAGAAGTCTTCCCCACAGGACTTATGCTGTATCTATGAGCTGGAGTCTGCAGTGGCCTCTAACCTGTTGCGGCGTGGGCAGATGGTAGGTTGCTGAAACCTTCCTGAAGGGTCTCCACGAGGAGCGCACTCCACGAAGCACACAGCAAATACCACACTCACATGCAGCAGCTGGTTATGTGAGACGGTGCAGGCAGGGAGGGTCTTTTTATAGGTTTCCAGTGGTAGTTTATTTCACCTACACACTGAAAGGGTCCAGGGACAAACACGGGGAGAGGTAGAGGGTCCAGGACTATATACTGGTACAAAGGGGCACAGCCAACAGCAACAACCAATCACCTGAAGGTGTGAGTGGGAAAAGGATTGCAGTGACCTTGCAGGGAAACACAAGGGTAAACAGACAGGGGTACAGACCAAGGAGGGTACAAAGAACAAAGAAACTGCTAGAACCTTGATCATATATGGTTAACAGGTGGTTGAAGGGCCAAGGGACCAACTGGGGGAGTGGCACTGGGGCTGACTGACAGCATGTCACAGGAGTCCATGGGAGAGGTTAAAGTCTAGGGGACATTCTTCCAGGAAGTCCTCTAGCAGGCCCACAGGCCTCCACAACTCCCCTTTCTTTCTTTATTGAAAAGGCCTCTCCTGTGGATTTCTGTAAACATTTAAGTGAACAGGAAAACATAAACAAGACTATGACTACAACAACTAAAATCCCCAAAATCCCTTTTACTAAAGATAAAGCCATCTGCCCATCTGAGCGGACCATCACACCCCAGCAACTCTCCTTCAAGGATGACCCAAGAACTCTAAGGGACCTACACTAACCCATGCCCAGTACTGGGCTTTTCTTCACACAGCCTGCACACCGTCCTCTCATTCATTCCTGGCTGTGGGGGTCAGATGAACCCCAGAGCTGGCACAGAGATGACTTCCATGTGAGGATGTGTACCTGAAGTGGCTTTGTTCCCTTCCCACAGCTTTGCAGAATGTCAGTTTGCCAAATCAGTCAACTGTTTATTTACACACCTCTTTTAAGGGGAGGATGCTCTAACAGCTTTATTTGCTTCCTATCTTCAAAGAATTCAGTTGTTTGGGTTTCTTTTAAATAATTAGCTGTGTATTTTTTTCATGGGTACAATTTGATTTCTGCTTTAGATAAGGAGCCAAGTGCAGTATTGAACATGTTTGTGAAGCTGGTTTTTCATTCTCCAGAATCTGTGCAAGATTTACCAGGACTGTTTGTGATCAGTATACATGGACTTATTCTACATGCCCATTATTCTCTTGTGCCAGATACATAATTTTTTCATTATCTGCATCATCTTCTTGTTTTACTAATGCTGTTAGAATTTCCAATAATAGGGTATCAGAGCAGAACCGGGGTGTGTAATTCACCAGGTACAAGGTGAATATACAGGAAGTTAAAACTCACCAGGGCTTTCCAGACCTGTGGATGCTCCAGGCTATCATAGAATATCCTGGCTGAAATGGACCCTGAGGGATCATGGAGTCCACCCCCTGGTCTCTGCCCAGACCCCCCAGCCTGGAGCTCTGGCAGCCTCGGGGCCGTGCCCATTCCCTGGTGAGCCTGGGCAGTGTCCAGCACCCTCTGGGGGAAGTTTCATCCAAGCCAGTTCTGTTCCCATTTCACGGTTTGGCTTAACTGGTTAGGAATAAAGAGCTGGGAATTTGAAGCACAGCTTCTGCTTTTGTGTTTGGAGTCAGAGAACATTTTTCTTCATCTCCTTCTAGCCAACGAAGTAATCATACCAGTAATCATACTCTGACTATATAAATAAGATTGGAAAATAACCCATTTTATATGCAAAGCAACTCTAGAAATTATTAGCATACACACAAAAAGCCTTCATAACTCTGAACAAACAAACATCTTGGTTTTCAGAGCTAATTACACGTCCCCTAAAATCACCAGGAAATTGCTGCTGGCTGCCAGGCGCAGAGGAGCAGCCGCCCATCTCTCCCGGCGGAGCTCTGCCGGCTGTCACAGCTGGACTCGCTCCCTCCCTGTTTACTTTCGCTTCTCCAAGTTGCCCGTGACCTCCGCTTATCCCGTCAAGGAGAATTGCACTGCGGCCGCTCCGCGTGGGACGTGTGCCGGGTACGGCACACACCCACCCTGAAACCGATGGACGATGCTCTACAGAAGCTGTGAGTGCACATTTGTAATGAGGAATTTGAGCAAAACAAGGGCCTGAAAGGTGCAAATCTGTGGGAACGGGAGTTCAGGGACAGAGGGGCAGTGCCTCTGACGGGAGTGGCCGGCTCGTCGCTGCCTTCACATTTTTCCCCCTTCTTAGACCTTGTTTTTGTAAATTATTGACTGAAACTTACTGAAGGGAGCCTAGTGCGCTATCTGACCTTTTAATAAATACTTTATTGTATTTTCTTAAGCACAAAGAAAGACTGTTAGAGGAACTGCTTGCGCTATCTAGATTTAATTTGTTGCTAAAGAGATTCAGTCCTGTGGCGGTGGGAAAACAACAAAGAGTATTGTGATCCAACAGTTCACAGATAAAACAAAACACTGCATGATAATGTTGCCAGGACAAGGGTGTCATTTAGTAAGTCTAATAAACAAATCGGTCGCTTTAGCGGGGGGGAAACAGTACTGGCTTTTGAGATTAGCTAAGCAGGAAATCAGTCTGCTGGGAAATAAAACGTGGTGCAGGTCACTTCGCATGGCCACTAAATTCGGAGGCAGAGCTCTGGAATGAATCAGAGTTTTGGAAGGGCCCTGGGCTCTGCCAGGCAGCGGGGGTTCGCTGGCTCCGAGCGGTTTGACGGGCGCCTTTCTCGCCTCGCTGTTCGCGTCGTTCGCCGTCACTGCGGCCGGGACGCGGCCTGCCCCCGGCTGCGCGCTGTGACTGTCACGGGATGCGACTGTCGCCGTGGGAGGGCGTTCGGGGCCGGCCCCAGCCCGCTCCGTCCCTCCCGGGAGCTCGGGCACGGCGGCGGCCTCCGCTCTGGAGGCGTGGCTCCGCAAGGATCTGTCTGTGCAAAGCGAACCTGACAGCGATCCTGCTGCAGGCGTGAGGAGGAGATATGTTTAACCTCTGCTTCTTGTGTATTTATCTGAGTCTGCAGGACAAAAATATCTCCAGGCAGTGTGGCACTGTACCTCGCAGTTTTCCTGAGGGATTAATTTTCGCTTCCATTTCACTCACTGTGCTTTGAATTAGTGTGCTGAAAAACATTTAGATTTATATTAGATATTTCAGTCCCTATCACACTAAGATTACCAGGTTTTCTGTTTAGTGGTTTAGATTCCAGTAGTTTAAAAACTTCTAAAAGTTTTTAAATTTAAAGCCTCCAAAATTTCTAAAAGTTTCCAGGGAAACTTTTTAGCAGAGCACAAAATGCAATGAATTCACAGGGGTATAAAGGGGTCATAAAAACAAATCATCAGTATGGCATTCTCCCACTTCTTCTTCGTATTAGGCAACCCCTCTTGCTGTAATGTTTTAATATACATATGGAAGTGAATTGCAGAATACAAGAATGGTTTGGATTGGAAGGGACCTTAAAGATAATCTTGTTCCAAACCCCTGCCATGGGCAGGGTACTTTCCACTGTGCCAGGTAGCTCAACCCCATCCAAAATAGCCTTAAAAATATATCACAAAAGGAATTACAAAATTCCAAGTTTCTTTTCACAAGGTTCCTGTTTCTTTACTAAAATACACTGCCAAAATCACACCAATGCAGGCGTGATCAAGGTCTCCATGTGCAATAATCCTGATTTTAAAATGTATTTTCATGCTGTTAGAAAGGTCTGTAAATAGGATAGGGTAAATAGGATAAACTCAGGATGTATATACTCTATTGATCTTCTCAAGGACATGCACCACGCATGTCACAGCATTTGACAATGCTTTAATCCTCTGCAGCATTTATCCATAGCAAGGCATATTCTCTTCCATTCCTTGCTAGGTAATTAATTGTTGATGAAATTTGGGGCAAATAACAGGTTTTACATCCACAGATTTGCTTGTACTTTTTCACTCACAAAGTTAACTATCCCAATTAATTACATGCTTCACTGAAACTTTTTCTATGAGAGTTGTCCCTGCTCCTTAGGCTTGAGTCACTACCTGCCCAATGTACCTTATGTGTTCAGCTGCACTTAAATGCGCGTTGTGCTGCAGCACAAGGAAAATACAAATTCTACATGGATGTTGTGAAGATGTAGACATAGTATTTTGGATAGTGTAATTTCTTCTGGAAAAGGAAATCGCGGCTTTACTAATCATGCATTAATTGTTTCAAAACTCGTGGCTGTGCAAGTGTAAATTCATTCTTCTACATAGGACGGGCTGGCGAGCACAGACATCTGAAGAAGTGTTTTACCTCGAAGGTCAAGGCGATGGGAAGCCCGGTGTAGGCTACGGGGGTACCGCCCCAGCTACCCCCGGCCCTGCCCTCCGCGCTTCCCCCGCCGCCCCCGGGCCCGGGAGGCGGTGCCCAGCGCCGTCCGCCCCGCCCCGGCCTGGCAGGAAGGCCGAAGGCCGCCGTCCGAAGGCCGCAGCCCGCGGGCCGGGCGGGGCCGGGGCTGCCATGGCCGGTGAGTGCGGGACGGGCAGGCTCCGGGGACCCTGGGCGGCTTGGCGAGCGCCGCCGCGCTCCCGGGCCCGGCC